TTCTTTTTATGTCATGTATCCCAGGTTATACTCAGGGATATAGATGACACTCATTATATGATAGAAGTACTGGGAGATAAACAAAGTGGATAATTCTTTAATCTCCTTATATGGATCTTGTTAATTCTTATTTTATTTGCTATGGTTTAAGTTTGATATGAATTTTGTAACACCCGGGTTTGTTTATATTTGTACAAAATGTTTTTGATTGGGACTGTTTTTACAAAACATGATCATCTGTCATGAAATATTTCAAAACCATATCATTTTTAAGCGTTAAAACGTGTGTGTTACAATGACAACCTCCATATATACATTAGTTGTGTGACAAACGTGTAAGGGGTTGTTTGTTTACCTCTTATTTCATCTTAATAAGAGGCAAACCTAAATTTGTCCCATTTAGATTATTTATTTATCACATATTTTGGCATCTGAATCTGAATATTTGATCTGATTCGGTAAGACATACAATCGTGTCTAAAAAAAAAGTAAAACACATGTTCCTTCTTTACCCTTTCTCTCTTCTTTCCATCCAACATATATGCACAGACCTTCCATAGACGCCGACCTTGCTTCCTTCATCCCTCCTTCGACGTCTGTACCCTCTCTGAACTTGGATTCCCATCCAACCCCTTTTCCCTCCCAGTACACTCCGTCTATCTGAAATCCTTCTCCAGACATTCCGGCTCCATCAGGCGCCGCCATAGCCGCTTCTGTTGCTGCCCTTTGTATCTCTGGCGACACCCTTCCATACCTCTAATGCTAGCCTCCAACACCTTCTACGCCGATCTCGCACAACATAGGTTCCTTCAAGTATGTACCATTCTTCAATTTTTCCTTTATTCTCTCCCGGGATAAGATGAAATGTTGTGATTTCTAGCTACAATCAATGCTTTCTTACTGAAATTGGTAATGAAATCAATGCTCCCCTATATTGGTTTTAGAAGGAGCTAACACCATGGATGTGGGTTGATTCGTATTATTTCAAATGGAGGCATCGACTCGGTTAGATACAGAAACATGGGGTACAATGTTTAGGTCATTGTATTGTTGCAATAGTAGCTTAACCTGATCGGCTTGTGACTGCTATTGAAGGTGATTCCGTTTTTGGATTCAGTGTCATGGAAATCAAGATTTTCTCTTTATTTTTCCATGAATATAACTTCTTTTTGCAATTTTGATCCTGAAATGTGTTGTGGTTTTGTAGACTTTGGTTAGGTTATGAGTTACATATGGTTGTGATAGTGTTCAACAATGGTGGTATGTATGGTGGTAACCGGATAAACCCTGAATAAGTTATGGGGCATGTTGTTATAAATGTCACCATTGAAATTGACCATGGAGAGAACAAAACATTGTAATCTTGTTACCTTTGAATTTTGGATGAAAGAAGATTGTGCAACCATATGTATGTGTGTATTGGTAGAAATATACAGGTAAGTAGATTGCCATTTTGCATGTTTTCGATTGGAATGTTGTTGTTGTATTCGGTCCTCTAGCACTTAGCCAAACCCATTAGGATATAAGACCAAACCTTCACATATTAGGTCTAAATATGGTCCACCAATACGGCCCATAAATAACCCCAGCCCATTGGGCCCACCAAGGCCCAATATCAAATGGGTCTATAAAGGTCCACTAATGGCCCAACTATCGCCTAATTTTCCAAATTGGGCCCAAACCCTCATTTGGGCCTTACCCTAAAGCCCATCTACATATTCTAGTCCACATGATTGCTCTTGGACGGTCCATCAATAGCCCAATCATCAAAGCCCAAAAGAAAGGCCCAACTCAAGGCCCAAGCAAAATTAGGGTTTTCACATGAAATGACGATTAGGGTTAAGTGTTCTCACTTAACCCATTAAGGACTTAAACCATTAAGTCCATTATTCCACTAAGCCATTATACAATGGAATCTGCATGAGTCATAACTTCAGTCCACTGGTCCAAATGCGGGTCCCAATAGGTCTAAACCAACAAACCTAAAATTAGGGTTTTTTAAACCCTAATTAGGGTTTCTAGCCCAATCACATTGCAGCCCAGCCCAAGATTAAGTGTTTAGGCCCCGTTAGGGTTCCACTAGATCGGGCACCACCTACTGCCACCTCAGGCGGTAGGATCGGTGGCGGCTCATGGCGGCGGCAGCCACCATTTCCAATGGTGGTGGTGGTGGCTCCCGTCCAAAATCACACATACCACTTCACACATAATAAACACACACACATACAGCCACCTCCCACGGTGGCTGGCGGCGGCCAAGGATGGCAGAAAAACAATAATAAGGTGGCAGCCACCACTGTCACGGTGGTAGCAGTGGGTTCTCGACCACAAATGCACGCAATACACACCACAAATATCGAAAACAACCATTAAAATCAAACATATGCACGTTCAACCACCACCTAGTGTTAGGCATCGCCAGATAATGCAAACAGTGGCACATTCAACCACCTCTTAGGAGACAGTGACGACTCCGACGTCACACCCACAAAATAACGAGAGAGAGAGAGAGGGAGCAAGGATGGGTTATAGGTGGAATAACGGTGGGTTTTTGATGGCTCATGACCCACACACGACGACACAGCGCCTCCTTCCGATTGGCTTATCTCCCAGCTGATCTCGATGTCACTGGCAGTGGGTTGTGATGGCAGTGCTTCAATGGCACGGTAGCGAGCATCGGACGACACAACAAGGTGGCAACGACTAAGAGAGCTCCATGGTGGTGGCTGATGAAGACTAGGTTTAGGGTTCATATGCTCCAACGAGAAGGAAAAATGAGTCACCGGTCCAATCCCATGTCCATACAAAGTTCTTATGATTTTGACACTTCCAGTCCCTCCTGCCCATAAACTTTCCAAAACAGATCCTTAAGTTACCATATATCCCCTTTCATGACCAATTCCTTTCAACCTTGGTACATAATTTACCATTTATACCCTGCCTTCTGGAATCCCTTTCAAATCAAGTCCAAAACTTACTCTTTTAACCCCTAAAATCCAAAATTATATCAATTGGCTCCCCAATACCAACACCCCGCTAAATATTACTTACTTTAGGACTATTATTCATTTATAAATCGTTATCTACTTATTTAATCAATAAACGGGATGTTACATTTTTATTAATATTTATTATAACTTTTAAATAAAAGGGTAAAATGGCAATTCTTACTTTTCAACACAACAATTCAGAGGTTCTAACCAAACAACGTTTTAAAATTCAGATCTTAAAAATTCAGACCCTCTTAGAATTTCAGACCTCTTAAACATTTAGATCTTAAAAATCCAGATGCTGCCAAACAGCCCCTAAGTTACTCTAAAATTTATCAAACATATTTGAATTCTAAATGATCCATTTGGATACCATTATGTATAATAAAGATGTTGAAAGTTAACATTCTAACTATGGGATTGTTTCTTTTTATGTCTAAAAATTTGTCTATGTTAATAAAGTGTTGCATATAAAATGTCTATTTCTTTTAAAGTTTACTAAAAATTTGTATATGTTAATAAAGTGTTGCATATAAAATGTCTATTTCTTTTAAAGTTAGAATTAATTGTATCAATGTCAAATAAAGGATCATTTTACCTATTATGTTATAAAATTGTAAATGATCATCCAAGCAACAATTGCAATCCAAAGAAAGCATAAAAATGACAAACAATTTACAAAACATACACTTTACAAATATAAATCCATAATCTCATATTACAATAAAATGCTACATTTAACCCATTTATGGGTTCTTAATGAAAAAAAATAACATGAACAAAGTGATAATTATGTCATTTTACCCCTGTATATGTCCTTTTCCTTTTTATGGGTTATGAATGGAAAAAAATAGCAGATGGTGCATTTCTGAAATAAATCTTTAAATATGGATGTTACATCTTCATGCATTTCTTCTTTTTTATATGTGCAACAAAAAGAGCAGTTTGGGAATACTAACTCCACTACAATATGGCTTAATATAAAAATAAAGGTAGATAAAGGGCAAAAAAATATGTAAATGACAATTATACTCTTTTGTCCCTTTAGTCATGACAATGAGTGTGCTTCTGATTCATCTTTGTACAAATTCAAATTGTTTTCTAATATTGATATATTCACTTCAATTGAGTTTGCTTCTGATTCATTTTTCTTAATCATGTTTATTGGTCCTTCATCTTCATCTTCATCAACCCATATCTAAAAAACACTTTTTTTGTTTGTATCCTTCATATACAACAAAAATCAATTATATACCAAGCAAATATATCGAAAAAGGGTATGATAAAGCTTAGTTAAACATACAAAGCTGACAGAGGAGATGAGAAGAAGAATGACGAAGACAAAAAGAAGAAGAAATCGTTCAAGAATAAAGCCATGATTCGATTTATGAAGGAGCCAAAGAGGAGTATGTCAATTATAGTCATGTCACCACCCACTTTAATGCTATGTCACCCACACTTATGCCATGTCACCAAGAATTAGGCCACATCACTACTAGAAAAACAGCCTTTTACGATGCTCATTGCGCGTCGTAAAAGGCTCAGACGACGCGCAAATGCGTGTCAAGGAAGGCCCTGTCATAAAGAGAGACGACACGCATTTACGACGCTCATTTACGACGCGCAATTACGACACGCGTTTACGACACGCAATGCGTATCAAGGAAGGCCCTGTCATAAAGGAAGATGACACGCATTCGCGTGTCGTAACCTTACAACGCGCGTGTTAATGACACGCAATGCGTATCAAGAAAGCTCCTGTCAAGAAAGGCCATGTCATAAATGAAGAGGACACACATTTTTGCGTATCGTACATTTAAATGTTTAAAAAAAATAAATTTATATATTTATTAATTTTTAAATTAAATTTGCATTTAATTTCTCATAATAGAAATAAAATACCATATACAAAAAATACAATCCATTGCATAATATAAAATAAAATTTCATACTCAAAAAATAAAATAAATTGCACAAATTGTAATGTCATACAAAGAATCATTCAAATGTTAAACAAAAATAATACATTGCTAACATGGGTTATACATTCCTATAAAACTAAAAAATAATCATACAACTTTGTTTCTTACTGGAAAGGAATGCCAAACATGATTACAAGTCTCCCTTAATCTTGATTACTCACCTTCTTAAGTAGAATGTTGTTGTTGAGAAGGTTACCTAGCAACAGAGAAAAACACAACACCTCTCCCACAATCACAACATCATTTACAGAGAAAGGGTTGTCAATTACTTTCATTAAGACTTTCATTCAATCACAAAAATATTAAATAAAAGGGTGAAACAGTAACTTACTTTTGATAAGTTGATCTCCCTTAGAGCAAACACAGCTAAAGCATTGAACAAGACCCTATTTCAATATTTTATAAATACACAAATCATGATACCTGATATTGGAATACACACTTTGAGACATGAACAAATACGAGTAGATTAACCTGGATACATAGGAAGTAAAGATGGAAGGTGCCAGAACTTCGGGGGCATTGGGTTGGTTCCTTCCCACTTGCACACACCAAGCCAGAACTCCACTTAATCCAGCACCAAAATAAGCCTGCATTCAGAAAGCTGCAGGGGTGAGTCACAATTCAAGAATCTGTTAAAATTTGAGGAATAACATGTTCAACCAAAACAATATTAGAAAACAGGGTTAAATGTGAAACATAGCAATGTAATAATTATCAAGGTGCTGGAATACTTGAAATCTAGATTATTTGCTTGTTTGTACATCCAAACGATTTTATCACGAACATAAGTCATGTTATCAACTTTCTGAAGAAGTATACCAAGACATTTGTAGGAGAAGAATACTCTCAATAAGATAATTTAATTGAAAAATGTAATGATAATGATAATGAGTTCATACCTGTGAAGTAGTGCAGAATGCTCATCATCATATGTATAAAGCTCATACTGCTTTGCAAAAGCATTTCCAATAGAAATCACCCAATCAATGTCTTGAACAACATCCAAAGTTTCTGCAAGAAACTGCAAACAAAAAAAAGAAATAAATAATAATGACATGAAAAGTAAGACTATCAGTCTATTACCTCAACAGTAAAACAAAACAAATTATTATTAAAATCAAATAATGATAAGACAAATTGTTACAAATTATGGGACAACAGGGTCTTCTATGATGACATATAAAGCAGCCCTATTACAATATTACCCTTGTGGGACATCAGGGTCTTCTTCTATGATGACAAATTGTGGGACAGCAATACTGTTGGATTAATGTCTAAGTCCATAACTATAATTGGTAAGACTTGACCCGACCCGGCATGGTCCATTTGGGTTGCATACCATCATGCACTTGGATAGACTATAATGAGAGAAATAAGACACTTATGGTTATTGATATATTGTAAGTTCTAGTATATTAATAATAAGAATAATAAGATTATTTAACTAGTATTGATCAAGAATTAATCTAGGATTAATTAAGTGATCAAAAGAAGACTAATTAAATATATGGGTTGATTGTGTAAATCATCCATACTTATATAGTGGGCTAATGCTCCATGGATAATCAAGTTGGGCTAAAACCCATAGGATGGTCCATGGATGCTCCATGGTGTATTTGAACCCAAGGATCCAAGGAAATGGAAAGCCATGACAATTAAGGATTTACCCTAATTGTAACGCTATATAAAGATCTTATTCTTGACAAAAATCGGCCACTAGTATCACACTAGAATCACATTAGAAAGTGAAGAAGAGGGCTAGCCGATTTCATGAAGTGTAGAACTCTCTCAAGTTATTCTAAGTGTTTTGATGATTGTGATTCCATTTGAGGCTTCCACACTATTGGGGCTAGGCACTCAAGCTTCATGAAGACTTATAATACATCAAAGAGGTATGTTATCTATCTTGTTACACTCATTGTTTTGTATGCTAGATTAGGATAATACCTTGGATGTTCTTATTTGCATGTATAATAGAGAAAACATAGATCCAAGGTATTTAGGGTTGCATGTACACTTAGGAGTGTTAGAATGCTCAAAACCCAACAGTGGTATCAGAGCCTAGGCTTGTTTTCTTGTTATACCTGCAATAGAAGCTGAAAAAAATCAAAATTGGTGCTGTCAGCCCAGCTGACTCGCCGAGTCCATGAAGGGACTCGACGAGTCCAAGGCAAAATGCATCCAACTCGCCGAGTTATGTTCATGCACTCGACGAGTTGGACCCCAGACAGCATATTTTCGAGGTTTTTGGCTAGAAATGGACTAGGAACATTACCCTAAGTTGTTTTTGAACTTATAAACTTGTTTTTTAATGTGGTAATGTTCATGCTAATCCATTTTCAAAGATAATTGTCAATAGATTCATGTTTTGTATTAGTTTAAGGTTTAGACTAATTACATGAAGAAGTTTGATATGAATTATCTTGTTCTTATGAGTTGCTTAGATTAATAGAAAAGTTAATTGAAATAGTTGCTTTCAATCCATTTTAATCTAAGAGTTGAGTATAAAATGTGTTTGTGTAACTTGTCCTCAAGTTACATGAAGAGTCACATTAAAGACTCATAAAACTCATAAAAGTTGGTAATGGTTACAAAATGAAGAGTCTTGTGTCATTGAATTTTTTTTTATGACTCCATAACTTGTCCTCAAGTTATGGAAATTCAAGAGTCACTTCATTAATAAATAAATAAATAAAGTGTAACCTTAATTAATTCCATAAGTTATAAAAATAAAGAAAAGTTAATTCTTTTATTAGTTTAAAGTCTTCCATAAGTTATGGAACTTGAAGAGTTTTTTGGATTAAAACTACTTTAAACACATAAGTTATGGAATTAATTAGTTTTGAATAGTTTCAAAACTTGCCCTCAAGTTTTGGAATTTGAAAAGTTTTCTCTTATGAATACTTTAATTCCAAGTTAGCCCTTAGAATTCTAAAGAGTTAAAATTCAACACTTATACTATTTATAACATTAATGGTTAATTATTATATATATGTATAAGAACAAGTCGTTTTACCGTTAGTAGGCCTCATTCACGAAACCGGTCTATAAGGTGGGTATAAGGTTGTTGCCTATAAAATGGCGACTTAATGGGTGTATACTCTCACCCACCGCTTGCTTGACTGGTGGAGGGTCGTTAGCCGAACGGGTAGGACAATGACTTTAAATTCTCCCTTCATTAAAAGTATTAATGATAAATACTAAGTAACTAAAATCTTAATAATTCCCAATCTTAGTTACTTTAGGAAAAATGTGAATTTGGTGCTAGCCCATGGAATTCACACTTTGTACCTTACCAAGTCGTTGGTGGAGCGTGTGTGGTTAACCGGCACACTAACTTGGACTAGTAAGGACCACGAAGGGTGACTTAATGTTTGTCATAGATCAATGGAGCGTGTGTGGTTAACCGGCACATTGATTAGGTGATAATATTAAGGGTACCAAGTGAATTGGTATGGTTATTCACACCTTGTTTTGTGATCCTCGGCATCCCAGTCACAAAATTTGAGAGGGCACACTCGAGATTGAAACATGCCATTGAAAAGTTCAATGAATCTCAAAAGATCTAGGAATTTCAAATCCAATTAAAACCTAATAAATTATTTCGTTTTTCATGGTGGAAATTGGTGAATCGTCATTCGCCTACCTTCAAATATTTTATAGCTTGGATTACGGCATCCCTCTTCCAAATTATAAAATATTGTGTTGGGTCCTAGCCTTAATATTTCATATTGGGTGTCATATTAAGGACTTTAAATCAACTATCTTGAATATCTCCCAAAACATGTCTGGTTTAGACATTTATGATCTTCCCAAATCTCTTGAAATGTTTCCTAAATCATGTTCCTTCACTTCTTTCTATCTCCTCCAATTATTCTCCCTACCCACAAGTTCTTGAAAAGTTTAAGGTCACTCGAGCCCTATTGGCAAGTAAAGGTCTTGGTGTGGTCACATCTTGGAGATGTAGTCACATATTGACAAGCCGGGAGAGTTGGGTGTCAAAGTCTTGAGAAAGTTGGTGGTTCAATCACTTTCTAAGTCACATAGTGAGTTCTTTTGGAACACCTATGAAAAAGACTATGACAAGACCCTTAATGATTTTATCTATTTGTTAAGATCAACTTCCTCAAAACTTGATGGACATTGACAATAGTGACACAGGAAATCCAGAAAAGCATTCTCTTCCCAATGGAAAGGGACCGGCCATAGTCAACTCGGTTGACCAAATGGTAAAGAGAAAAACTAAGTCTGTGATAGTCCCGTGTACCATTATCAAAGGGTCCATATGTTTATATTGCCAAAGAAAGGGGCATTGGTTGCAAAGCTGCCATAATTTACCTAAGGATGTTAAAGTCGATAAGTTTGACTCTACTTCAGGTAAAGTCCACTATCTAACTCTATAAGTTTCTATTTGAGATTCTTATACATAATGTGAATGGGTCACATGTGATGTTTTAAGAATCAAAGAAAAGGTAAAGAAACTTAAAGAAAGAATATGCTGAATCTGATCGCGTAGATGGATTTCTATCGCGTAGTTTGAAGATCGGATTCTTGAGCTACTTCTTAGGAGTTATAATATATTGCTTGTGAATAGATAACAACAAGGTTTTCATGTGGATTGTAAGGATAAGTTTTTCCGCAAAGTTTTAAAATAAAAGAAAAAAAAGGGTTTTAATTTTATTTATTTTAAAAAATATCCTTACAATGGCATCTGTGGAAAATTGTTGCTTATATGTTTCCAGTAATAGCAATATTGGAAAGTGGATTTGATTCTTTCATTTGTGGTAGTGTCTGAATTTACCAAATGAAGAAAGTTTTTCATCACCCAAGTTTCAATTGGACAGAAACTTGGAATCATACAAGTTGTATTGTATGATGAATGAGAATTTTCATCTTTGAAAAATTAAGACTAATTCTTTGATCACATGTATATGTGAGTCAATTGAAGGACTAAGGAATTAGGTACACTGGGTGTGCACTGGTCAAGGTCCACCACAAAGATTGATTTGTCATGATTTACTAAAGATTAGTAAATATGATTATACTTATAAGGTTAAGTATAATTCTGTAACATTGGAAAGGTTCCAATGTATGGCAGAGCGAATAAGAAGAATCAAATTAGGCAGAAGGATAAAAGTTTCTCAAATCTGAAAAGATGGGAGAGTACTTTAGTATCAGTTTTATGATCATCTTAATGATTTAGAAACCATATCACAAATTCATACTCTAAGGACGTCTTAGTGCATTGTTATGGCTAAGAAGAGAGGTCATGAATTGTTGGATTGGTTAAGATCAAGAAGATGAGTCATACTTCGTTCCAAAACAATTCTTAGAGTCATACTCCAAGATTGTAACATTGAGTGACATAAAGTAAGGTTTAAAACACTTATCAAATGTAGTGTGAAATGTTTCTACTCTTGTACATTTGAGATTGGTAAGTTGTGATGTCTTGGATGAGACAAAGACCAACTAAGACCAATTGTGTGAAGTGTTAGTCTTGATAAGAATCCGCACTATCCCTTGAATATTTGTTTTGTCAAGGAATGGTTCTTGACTGGAAACTTATATGTCAAGGGACAGTGGGAGCCTTAAAGATCCTGAAAGAGTTTCAAGATTTAATCAAGAGTGAAACCTGTAATTTATCACTAGCACACGACTTAAGGTTTGCAACCTATCGTGTTGACATAATTCTTATTTCTGTACCTACTTCAAATAAGTTGAATTTGCATGTGAGTTATCAGAGTTCAACTTGGAAGCATTGGTGGGCCTTGTGCTACCAAGGTGACAAGAAACTAAGATTGAATAAGTTTAATCCATGTAAGGCTGAATTTGTCACTAACCTTATCTTGTGATTATGGTTTTGACAAATTCGCATGGATAGGAACTCATACACTATAAAATCTAAGTGTCATAAGGTTTCTCTCCGATTCATGAAAATGATGGTGAGGAAACGCTTTCACTAAGTAGATTTTACGTAGATAGCAATTGTGTTATTTGCATTTTCAAAAGTCGTTAGTGGAGCGCGTGTGGTTAACCGGCACACTAACATGGACTTGTGAGAAATGGCAAATGCCTAAGCAATTGAGACTATGATTACGGCATCCCTTTTCATAGTTCTGAAAATTGTTTAGACACACATGTGAGCTATCTAAGAAAGGATGTATGAATCTAAATTTCAGAAGTCCAGCAGATTTCTGAAAATATGTCAGAGCTAGTGGGAGCATAAGTGTTATGCTGATAATCATCATGTTAGTGGGAGCATGATTATTATGATTAGTATTGCAAGCTAGCAATGTTAATTATAGAAAACAAAGTTTCAATCGTGAAGTTGCAGGGGTTGAAAAGTTGTTTTGCTATAATTAAGGGAGAGGAAATTATACTTCATTTCAATTCTAAAGCTTAGATTGAGATTTTAATCATCTTTAGTCAAGAATATATATGAATTTTGTGTTGGAATGGTTCAACTTGAAGAAATTCTATATATATTGCGTTTTCAAAATTCGATTATGATTACGGCATCCCTCTTCATAGTTAAATTTTGAAAACATGGCAAATAAAAAATATTGTAGCAAAAGACTGGTCTAGTATCATGTCTTTATGTCAAACATCATGAATCGTGTCCCATATGCTTCGGATATAGGATCGATTTCATGTGCTATAATATTCATCCTTTCTAAATTTTCCAAATGCTTAAGGCATTTAGAAGGGAAAAGTCTAGAACTGGATATGACTAAAGTGATTAAGCAATTGTCGAGGACAATCTGAGGTTTGCCAAAGATTGGTTGCTCAAGGACATTTGGAAGTATAGTGTTAATTTTGGAGGACCATATTGACATTCTGAAGAGGCAACTCTTGTTCAGAAGTGATAGTCAAAATGGGACTGGAAATGTTCAAGTTAGAAGTTATTCAATCTATGTAAGATTAGGAAACTTAATGCAAGAAGGATGTTCCCAAGGAGCTGATCTCCTTTGGAATGCTCTGTAATGGTTGTTGTCAAGTCTTTCTGACTTCGTGCATAATCATTACAAGAGGATCAATGCATATAAGTTTAGAATCTAACAGATTTCAGTAAATGACATGAATTTGGAATTCTTGCATTTACAATAAGGATTTGGGATTGTGAAATGAGTATCATTGGAATCATGTTCAATTGATCTACATCACAATGTAAGGATCATAGACAAACATAGTGTGCATACTTGGGGTATGGCATAACTATTGTTTAGAAAAACAAAGTGTACATGCTAGGAGCATGGGACGACTGTTGTTTTTATTCAAGTCTTAAGTTGATTATTTGAAACATTGAATAATGTGTAATCAATATGGTGATAAATAAAAGGTGGTTTTATTTATATTCAAAAGGGTTCTGAGACCATATTAGATTCGATTATTATTGTGTTTCACTTTGCATGTTTTGACTTCCAAAATAGCTAGGTTATTCTTTTCGAATGACTAAGTTATTTAAACACTCCACAGTCGTTCATATGTTGGAAGTAGGTATGAATCAAGACTGTCATGAATCGGGTTTGTAGATGGCTAAATGGGTTTAGTCATGGCAATGGTTGCTACAACATTCATGAGTGCTCATAAGTTATGAGTATTGGAATAAACCCACGCTCACTTGTATCACTTCATGGAATTTATCTCGAGTGATCGTGAGACGGTAATATCATATAAATCTTCAAACCTAGAGATATGAGTTGTTACCTATGAGTTGGTTGTGCATTGATTGCACGTAAACGCATCAGTAACTTGATGTTATAAAACGTGCCTTTGTGTACAATTCAACAAGTAGTAGAACAAGCATATGAGTCGAAGTTTATCTGTTCCTTCTAGAAATAGAAGCGATATCTGGGCCCCTCGATGATTTTGTTGTGACCTATGTACCGGCCGGTCAGAACTGAATTGATGTGTTCGATTAAGTTCTTTGTCAAACAAATCGAAAATCGGGAAACAAACTGCTGGACAATAAGTACGACGTTGTTCCATGTATTTGTCCGGCTGATATCATGAGAACAGAGGATTATATGATCCCTTATCTAATGGATAAGTCATTGACAAGGTCAGAGTTCAACAGAAGCTTTTGAGAGCTACGATTGCCAGTTGGTTCCTGAAGTCATACGCAATAATAGTTTTAGACTTATCCAAGTGGGAGACTGTTGGATTAATGTCTAAGTCCATAACTATAATTGGTAAGACTTGACCCGACCCGGCATGGTCCATTTGGGTTGCATACCATCATGCACTTGGATAGACTATAATGAGAGAAATAAGACACTTATGGTTATTAATATATTATAAGTTCTAGTATATTAATAATAAGAATAATAAGATTATTTAATTAGTATTGATCAAGAATTAATCTAGGATTAATTAAGTGATCAAAAGAAGACTAATTAAATATATGGGTTGATTGTGTAAATCATCCATACTTATATAGTGGGCTAATGCTCCATGGATAATCAAGTTGGGCTAAAACCCATAGGATGGTCCATGGATGCTCCATGGTGTATTTGAACCCATGGATCCAAGGAAATGGAAAGCCATGACAATTAAGGATTTACCCTAATTGTAACACTATATAAAGATCTTATTCTTGACAAAAATCGGCCACTAGTATCACACTAGAATCACATTAGAAAGTGAAGAAGAGGGCTAGCCGATTTCATGAAGTGTAGAACTCTCTCAAGTTATTCTAAGTGTTTTGATGATTGTGATTCCATTTGAGGCTTCCACACTATTGGGGCTAGGCACTCAAGCTTCATGAAGACTTTCTACATCAAAGAGGTATGTTATCTATCTTGTTACACTCATTGTTTTGTATGCTAGATTAGGATAATACCTTGGATGTTCTTATTTGCATGTATAATAGAGAAAACATAGATCCAAGGTATTTAGGGTTGCATGTACACTTAGGAGTGTTAGAATGCTCAAAACCCAACAAATACATGACTAAATGCATGTAGATTGATAAGGTTGTTTCTTTTTTACTTAATAAAATCAAAATGACTTGTCGTGCTAAGTGAGAGGTTGGTCACTTTATGTATTAAGACCCTCCCTATTACAATATTACCCTTGTTTATTTTTTTATTTTATTCAACTTTTGACAATCTCATGAAAAAGGCACTATCGACCTCGTTTTTTTTCAATGTTCACAGAATTTTAAGCAAAATGTTGGCATCTATTTACCTGTTGTTGTTTGTTTTAGAATTTGGAGAGAGAAAGAGAGAGAGAGAGAGAGAGAGAGAGAGAGAGAGAGAGAGAGAGAATCTTCATGCCTTTATGGTGTATCAAAGGAGGCCGCGAAAAGACAACCTAGTTACCATCCTAAGCAATTAGTGGTCCTAGACCATGTGAAAAACAGAGCTCATATCATAAGCTGATTTCATAAAAAGATATAAAAAGAAAGACTAAAGAGCCAGTACCAGTTGATCAAACCCATGACATCTTTTGTGTGCCCAATGAATTTGTTCATGACAAGTGGATCCGAAGGACATATTGCATTTGCTTGCAAAAAAAACTATACACAACCAAAGAAAAATGAAATTACATCAAACCAAATAAAGAAAAGGGTATTTTAGACATTTTTTTAAGAATGTGGTATAGCAATTACTACCTGCTCAACGAGTTTAGGTAAGTGACACCTAAAGATTAAAAACAAATAATTTAATCATATTACACTTTGATAATATTATCATTTTTTAATTTAAATTAAAGAAAAAAGATATATTACCCAGGAAATAAGCGTGCAGCAGTTCAATAACAAGACATAGCTTGATCATCTGCTTCTTTGGGTGCATAAGCATTCCCATATCCTATCCAACCAGGGGAAAATATTCCTTCCAAGTTACATGTAAGTGTTGTGATAGATTAATCAAAAATTAATTAATTAATCAAAAATCAAAAATAGGATGGAACCTTTTAAGTTACCTATTAAGCGTTGTGATAGATAATGGGCAAGAGCAGCTTCACCATGGAGGATTTTAGCGCCACTCCCAACTGCCTCCTCATCAACAACCACACCATCTATTATATCTTTACCTGTTCTTTCATTAGGAATTTGCATTACATTTATAAATTATCATTCTATTTCTATCATTTCATTATAAAAAGAAAAAAAATAATACAGTAGTAATCTTTAGATAGAAACCTCATACATGGCATTTCATAGAGCTGAACATTGAAGTAGTTTGTTGAACAGCTATTTTTTGGTCCTCCTGTGATCAGACAACATAACAAGTCTTCATCCCAAATACACAATTAAAGATTTTTTTTTCTTAAAAAAAAAAAGAAAAGAAATAATATGGTTTTAGTTTACCTGGATGCTATCCTTCCCAATCCAACAGCACAGGTAGTGATCTTCTTTCTTTTCATCAGAATGGTAGGAGTAAAGACAAATATAGCAATCTCCACTGTAAAATTTTCCAATATCCTCTTTGGGTAATTCCGTCTTTTCTTCACCATCAATACGCCATACCTAAAGCGCCCACAATTATTTTATCTTTCTACATTAAATCTAAATGTAGCAACAAGTTTATGATCTGAAACCTCAATTTTTCCATTTTCTCCAAGCAAAGGTGGAACTTCCTCCTCTACAGGAGCCGTTTTTGTCTGGCCTTTGGCAAAAGCACCTTGTTGCTTCAGCAGAGCTAGTCATTAGAACAAGAGTAGAACTTAAGGTAAGTTTTAGAAAAAGTCAAAAATAGCCCTAGAAAACTCAAACACCCATGTCCCATGTAACAAAAATATATATAAGATATAGAATGAATCTACCTGCTACTTTTCCTCTAGTTTCCTCAGGAGGTCAACTTAGGGTTCAAGAATGAATCTACGCCCACAAAGTAAATAATCCAACTCACTTGTAGAAAATATTTGTAAACTTGAAGCCTCAAAAACCTGATAGTAATAAGATAAAATATTAGCTTAAAAAAATTATTTTGTATATTTTCTAATTCCATAAACAATTTAGCATATTAGAATGTTGGAAAAAGATGATGACCTGATTAAAGCCAGCTCTAAATGCTTCCAATTGCCTTGTGATACAGAGAATCAAACTTACTTCTTGTTTCTCCTCAAATAAGATAAAATATTAGCTTAAAAAAATTATTTTGTATATTTTCTAATTCCATAAACAATTTAGCATATTAGAATGTTGGAAAAAGATGATGACCTGATTAAAGCCAGCTCTAAATGCTTCCAATTGCCTTGTGATACAGAGAATCAAACTTACTTCTTGTTTCTCCTCCCACGTTTAGGTCCCCATCCTTCAAGCTTTGCAACAAGGCAACCCACATATGAAGTTCATATGTGGTGGAACTTGTCAAATAAAAGAAAAAGAGAGAACTGAATGTGTTCATCTTAATCGGTCACTTCAATCAAGAATTAGTGCCCTAAATCTTCAACTACATATGTCTTAACAATTTCACATAAATAATTATAAAGGATTGTTACAATTATCTGAAATTTCAGATCTAGGGATGACGTACCTGGAGCCCTTGGTCGCTCAAAGATGATTTCCTCGGTAGAAACCATGGTGAGTTTGGCGCCGACGTCCTCTTGAACGGCATCACCGAACTTAGGCCAAGAACGCCTCTCCATGGCGCGCTTGCTCAGCCGAGCATTAGCGATTTTATGGATGCGTGTGGTGGTGTTAATCTTAACCCGATTACCTTCGTCGTTGAATTTGTACTTTCAACCCGTGTTCATCGGGTCCAATAACCTGTTTCGGCGGCAACAAATAGTCATAGTCACCGCCATCAGCTTCTTCCTCCAATTCGCCCCATCTGGGTTTTTGAGCCATGTCTGCGAAGCTGCTAGAATTGTTGCTGAGGGAAAATTAGGGTAGGAGATTCGAAGTGGTAATGTGAATAAGATAAAGATGTAATGAATTCGGTTGTTGTGATTCTTTAGGCTTCAAAATTGATAGATTTTTTTTTTCGATTCTTTCAAGTTTGAATAAGAAAATGAGAAAGAGTTAGGGAAATCAAGAGTGCAATGCTCGTCCTTGTTAGGTTGAAGATGAAAGATAGATAGAAGATAGAAAAAAAAAAAAAAAAAAAAAAAAAAAAAAGGCGGGTTTTCAAAAATTTTGGGGTTTTCATTTCCCCCCTTGTCTACTAAAAGCGTGTTTCATTAAAATTATAAAGCGACAGGTACAAACGACGCGCGTTTAAGATAAAGCGCCCTCCGTGTTTTTAATTTTTTTTCTTGAGACACTAAATTAAGGGCATGCAATAAAGCGTGACGTAAATCCTTATATTTTTTGGAGAGATGACACTATTTTAAGGGCACGTCCTTTTGCGTATCGTTAATTATCGCGTGTCATAAAAAGCGCGTCATTAAAGGTCTTTTTTCTAGTAGTGTGCATCAACATTTAACTTGTAGGAACCAATTACAGTAGGTGAGATTTGAACAAAAGGTATACTCCGTTGGTGTTTTTTGTTATAAAAAAAATAAAAATAAAAATTTAGTTGGATGGTGTTTTTTAGCGGACAAAAATTCAATGGTCTTTTTTGAACGTCTTTAAAACATACTTACCCTTATAAGTCAGTTTCCCTTTTGGTTACACAAAATGTGGATGATGTGAGGTATGTTAAGGGAAAACCATTTCAATGTGCTTAAGAAGTTTGGAAAGAAATGAAAAGATATAGAATAAGAGGACATGACTTAAGGAAAAGGAAGGCTTGACAAATCTTAAAATATAAAAACTACAAGTACTTAAAAGTTACTTGAAATAGCTTTTGGATTTGAATCTTTTTTTATTTAAACTAAACTTTTGAGACATATTATTACTCATATAACCATCTTATCCGTACAAAACTTAATACTAAAAAAATACCTTACCACTTAATTTGGAAAAAGAAAAAACCAATCTCAATTTCTTTTTAAAGAGGGAGGCGAAAGAAACGGAAAGAAATGAAACAAAAAATCATTGTTTTCCAATTTTTTTAATGGAAGGAAATGAAAAAAAAACAGGTTATAGATAATCGTTCATCATAATTTTCCCTCTAAAATGAACGGATTTTGAAAGATATACAATCAAATACAACTATAAGAACATCCACCATAGGGAGTTTGATGCAAAAGTTGAATGAGGTGACAAGTCTATGTATCATTTAATGGATGAAACTCCATCATTGTGAGATGTCTAATTTGCATTTAATGGATTTGAAGTTCAATGGTCATTGAACTCTTCAATAGGAAAAAATAAAGTTTTTAATTCTTAAATACTTATTATAAATTATATTTTGTAACATTCTATTGAACTTTGTAGAGTTCAATGCATCGTAGGAAAAAATAATAGAGTTGTATGGATTGTAGAAAGATGATGTGACAATCCATTGAACTCTATGAAGTTCAATGGATTGTAGATGACCTAAGGTTTTTTCATTTATTGTATTTACCTTTTAACACAATATAAGAAAAAAATTGCCGTAAATTATGAATTTCTTCAACGTGGGTCTATTTTCCATTATTAACCAATTCGTTATACTCGGTAAATATAAAATAGAATATATCTTTTTATTCTGACCCTTTTCTTTCTCTACTTTTTCTTATTTTTCCATTTCTTTTTAGGGAATAAGACTTATTAAAGTAATTAAATTTTCGGGTTGTTCACATATAAATAACTATGTTTTTTTGTATACATCTATGTAACAAACTTTTTGAAACTGTTCACATATGACAATTATGGCATGTTGTAGCAGGTTATATTCAGCTACAGCAGGTCATAATGGTTATATGTAAACACTTTCAACAAATTCGTTATGTAAATGTGTACAAAAAATAGTTACCTGAATATGAACAAAACCAAAAGTAGGAGTAAATTATACGAATGGTCCCTATGGTTTAGGGGAGTTTGTGTATTTGGTCTCTAACTTATTTTTTTAACTCGGATGGTCCATACTGTTTATTTTTGTTGTGCGCTTAGTCTCTGTCTTACCTAAAAAAGACTATTGTGCCCTTATTTATTTATTTTTTAATTAGTTTTCTTACTTATGTATTTGTTTTTATATCTTTAAAAAAATTAATAAATCTCACATATCTGTATCTCCTCATCGTAAAGCTGAAACTACATTTTAGAAATTTAATCTGGGTCCCACCGGTCACCATCACATCCCTCATCCTCTTCAACTTCTATTTTCTTTTCATCTTTAGTGACATGAAAATCTTCACCATCCCTTCATTTTTGTCCTCAACTCTGGCGAACAAACACAATAACCTACTGACTAGTGTCTCTTCACTTTAGTGAGTTGTAGTGTTGGTTCGTTGGAGTTAAAGGACCGAAAAAAAATGGATGGTGAATACGTCGATGTCACTAAAGATAGAAAAACAAAATAGAAGTTGAGGGTGATGAGAGATGAGATGGTGAGGAGATACAGATATGTGGGGCCTATTAGTTTTTTTAAACATATAAAAAAATACACAAATAAGAAAATTAATTAAAAAACATAAATTAATAAGGGCACAATAGTCTTTTTAGGTAAAACAGGACCAAGCGCAACAAAAATAAACAGTAGAGACCATCCAAATTTTAAAAAAAAAAAAAAAAAAATTAGTGACTAAACGTACAAATTCCCCCAAACCACAAGGGTCATTTGTGTAATTTACTCTAACTTTTGGTTTTGTTCATATTTGGGTAACTATTTTTTTATACACATATAGGTAACGTACTTGTTGAAAATGTTCACATATAACCATTATGACCTACTATAGTCGGATGTAACCTATTATAGTAGGTCATAATGGTTATATGTAAACAGTTCCAAAAAGCACTGTTGTAAAAGTCCCGACTACGTCCCGATTAATCTATAGGTGCTACTCGACCGATTAGAGGGAGCCTAGCGATTAATCCTCATTCCCCACATACATAATGAGTGAAACAGTATAAAACGATGAAATTTTAAAATGTTGAAGAATTTTTTTCTCAATGGAAACTATTTGAGACATGATTAGTGTTATGCTATTAGTGATATTTATGAACTTTGATATGATATTAGTCATATTTAATTTTTTAAAATTCAGTAAATTAGCAATTAATGGTCCCCGATTAATCCCTCAATTAATCTCCGTCTAGCCGATTAATCGGTTAACCCTAGTCCACCGACGAGCTAACGTCGAACGTTTTTTACAACCTTGCCAAAAGTTTATTACCTTGATGTGTACAAAAAAAAAATTACCTATATGTGAACAAACCGAAAAATTAATTACCTTAATTAGTTGTATTTCCTTTTTTTATTAAGTCGGGATAGACAGTGTACAAATCAAAATTTGACTGAAAGAGGTCGACTAGTTTATAGGTGTTTTAGCATTTGACGTTTCGTTTAAACTAAATATTAGAATTCTGTAGTGTTAAACAAGACTTTCTGTTCAAAATAGAACGTTTTGTTAAACGCTAAAAACTACAAATTTTCAACACACCAAAAAAAAAATTATGTGCCTACCACGCCCATGATTGGAACAACAAATTTTAGCCATTCACCGACTGGACACATGACATGACATGGTGAAGCAATGCCACCGTCACCGTTAATATTATCCAGGGTGGATCGGCCACTTCCTTTCTCATTCCCACAGACCCAAATCTTAAATCTCTCCCAAATCAACATACGTCTCTCCCTCTCTCCACTTCCACACGATTCCATAAAAACCATCTCTCTCTCTCTCTCTCTCTCTCTCTCTCTCTCTCTCATCTTCTATGTCTATACCCTTTCTCATCGACTTACTAACCCTAAAGTGAACGGCTTGCAGAATTTTTAGTAATTAAAGGAGCAACGTAGATGAGGACGATGGTGAAGACAATTAACAGTAGCCAAAGTCACACGGGTCTTTCTGTCTTTCTCATAGTTAATGCTTATCCCAAAAGGTATTCTTCCAAGATCCCCTCTGATTTAGTCCTCTTTTTGGGACTTGGCTTCATAGATTGGTAGGTCTGTCTTCTCGGCTGCATCTGATTCAATAAATATCGTTTTTTTTTTTTTTTTTTTTTCTGTTCCTGTCATAAATACCATGGAATTTCTCCTGATCTTGATTCGGTACATGGAGATTCATGTGTGAGGAGATGACCTTGATATAGTTTTCATCTAGGTAAATCATTCTTCTGTTCAGATATATTCATTCCCCGATTCATCTTCCCGAATACTCTCTCTGTTTCTCTCTCCCTCGTCCGTACAAAAAGTTCCGAGTCTTCGATCATAATAATTCAGAAAAAATTGGGTTTTCTTTTTTGTATTCAGCTAGTAATATGAAAGCTGAATCCATCTTTCTTTAGTTTCTAGGCATATTAAAATGAGCCTTATGATGAAGAATTCAAATCCACGATCTCAACTCATAGCTCTTAGAAGTGTGATTTCGTGAGATGGGAGATTCCCTTCTCACTGGTTTTTTAATGTTAAATCATCATCCTTCAACTTTTCTGTCAATGGATTCCAGTGCCTCTTCTTCTCACGATGATTTAGACCTAGAAATGAGTCACCAGATCATCAACCCCACCCGTCCTCCCGACATCAATCTCCCTCTCTCGGATGAAAGAACCTCCCCACCCTCATGGAATCAAGATCAGTGTGAAGTTCTCGATGTTGGAGTCGGACTAGTCTCACAGCTATACGAAACTGAAAGCTTCCTAAACGGAAACGTCCCTAAAGTTGGAAGAAAGTGTGCGAAAAGAGTAGATAGCATATGGGGTGCTTGGTTTTTCTTCAGTTTTTACTTTAGGCCAGTCCTGAATGAGAAATCCAAATCCAAGATTGTAAGAGACAGCAATGGGGTTTCCGGGTTTGACAAATCAGACCTCAATCTTGATGTCTTCATGGTCCAACACGATATGGAGAACATGTACATGTGGGTTTTCAAAGAAAGACCTGAAAATGCATTGGGGAAGATGCAGTTAAGAAGTTACATGAACGGGCATTCAAGACAAGGGGAACGCCCCTTTCCTTTCAGTGTTGACAAGGGTTTTGTTCGATCTCATAGAATGCAAAGAAAACATTACAGAGGCCTCTCAAATCCTCAATGTGTCCATGGAATTGAAGTTGTCCCTTTGCCTAATCTAACCATACTCGATGAAGATGAACTCAAAAGATGGACAGAACTTACTGGAAGAGATTTAAATTTGTTGATCCCATCTGAAGCTAGTGATTTCAGTTCATGGAGAAATCTTCCAAACACCGAATTCGAACTTGAAAGGCAACCTGTAACAAGAAGCAACAACAATTTAAACTCTCAGTCAAAGAAGTTGCTGAATGGGTCAGGGCTAAATCTGTCAACTCACACCAATGGGGATGCTGACCTGTCACCCGTCATCAAGAAAAGGAAAGACCTGTTGGAAGATATCTGTTTGACTGTTAATAATCATCCTCCTGATGGGTTACCAAACCCAAACCCAAACCCAAACCCAAATGAGCCGTATTGGTTGAATGAGTTTTCTGGGGTTGTGAGGAATGCGTGTGGGCCCGTGACAGCTGCAAAGACAATATATGAAGATGAAGAAGGTTACTTGGTTGTTATAAGTTTGCCATTTGTTGATCTTCAAAAGGTTAAAGTGTCTTGGAGGAATACCCTTACACATGGCATTATTAAGGTTTCTTGTATAAGTGTTTCTAGAATGCCATTTGTAAAAAGACGTGATCGCACCTTCAAGCTCACTGATCCGTGTTTAGAACACTGCCCTCCTGGGGAATTTGTGAGAGAAATTCCACTGTCTACCCGAATTCCTGAAGATGCAAATATAGAAGCTTATTATGATGGACCAGGGTCAGTGTTGGAAATTTTGGTCCCAAAGCTTCGTGAAGGGCCTGAAGAACATGAAGTGCGGGTTTGTCTTCGGCCTCATCTTGTTGGTAATGAACTTAAGTTGACTTGAGAAAAATGGTCAAAGATGGTGGATCTTGGTTTCTAGTTTAGTGATCTTTAGTATCATATCATGTATTGTGTTGTTGTGTGAAGTTTCATAGCCTTGGTCATGTATTAGCATATAATGGATTGGTTGCTAGAATAATACCATCATTTCGTATTATATATATATATATTGAACTAAATAGTACTTTAGTTAAACTTACATGTATGATGGACCTATTAATGAATCAAAATTATCATATTATAACAAGTGTATGTTCTATAGACCTGAAAAGGATAGCTTTTGAAAATCATTAATTTTGTTATATATATAAATGTTCCATCTTTTATGGTTTGATTCATGCTTCCCACTTTTGTTGGGCAATATCAAGATTTATGGTGTCGTTTTAACTTCCCTTTTGTGTTAGATTATGGAAGGTGTTGTCACCCCTTTTTCTTTTTTGGTGGAAAAATATCTCCACTTATCTTTGTTGATAATGAAATGTTTGTGTTTCCACATATGGGCGGCTATATCTTATGTCTAATATACAACAATAACAACGATATCCTAGTCACGTAAGAACTCAGAATTAGATAAGAGGGAGGCAACATGAAAAAAGTTATTAAAAGACGTACTTTTTTTATGTGACTGCTAAATGTTGTTCATGGGATCTTGGTTTGATAAAACTCAGATCCAATGTTCTATCAGTTGAGTGAATGTTAGTATTGACATGTGTTGACACACCATTGTCCATTGGGCACTTGTAAAAGGGGATTTGGGAGGTCGAGGTGTTAGTTGGGGTAACTGTTTAATAATGAACTTTTGTTAGGGATTGTGGAAGTTGACAGGGAAAAAGCAAGTGTAGGTGGTGGTGGAGTCACAATAGAGTCTCATTATTTTGGTCAACCTTCTTCCTTTGACTTCAATTGCTTATTATGTCGTAACAGTTGGTGTTATTAGCCAAGTAATAGCTATAAAATCACAAGGAAATACAAGTCTATGTTATAAATTCACATATGTTTAAATTTGAATTCCCAATCAGTGGACATTTGTGTAAGTTTGCAACGTATTTCAACTTTTACTTGTTGAACAGATCAATTTTATTTTGAATGTATTTATCTTTTTTTTTTTAAGGAAAAAAATAAAGATGAAATTGTCACCAGGCAAATAAGTCGAGTAAACTTGTTGTCCTAATTGATGTCTCCCATTAGGGGATTGTGTGGTTTGTACGGAAATCAGTGAACATGGTGAACCTTATGCTGTACTTAATGTCTCCCATAATGTGATTTTTGTGATTGTGGATATGCTAACAACCAATCATATATTTTCATGAAGCTACAGTTTGATGATCTGACCATTGAAGTAAATCAATTTACTTATCAAATTCAAAAAAATGTATTAAAGTTTAGGAACAAATACAAAACTATACATATCAAGTCCAATGGTAAATAATTATGTACCAGTTTTTATTTTATTTATTTATTTATCTTAAGGATAATTGTTTGGGTAAATCATGTTTTTTATATATAATGACATAAATTTCTTGATGAAGAAAAATAACAAAACTATAACTCATTTCACATAAATGAAAATTTTGAGTAGTGAAACATCTTCAAAACAAAGATCAACTAAAATTTCTTAATGGAATTCCAAATTATTGTGAGTTTAATTTTTGGCAAGCTACACACATTGGGAATGTATTTTCAGATGTCGTATCTTATCTAACATAATAGGTTACTCTCGTTTTTTCTATATACAATACTCTTTACCTTTTGTTCTCATGTGCCCTCAGTTCATCATTTAATCACAAAGAAAGTAAAAAATCAATTGAAACATTACCATTTGAATCGATAAGTAACTATGCATCTTGGACTCAAAATCGGTTTTTGGTTCTTCACATGCTATATCTAATTTCCTCCAAATTATCATCCATGTGGAAAAAATGAGACACCAGTCCACCACATCTAATTAACTACAGTGTAACAAATAATGGGTTCCAACTAAGAGCAATGAAATCATTCTCGTGGTTGTCATGATTCACGTTTTATAAGTCAACTGGTGGCACAAGAATAAATAAGTGTAACAATAAAACACCCAAATCCAATAATTGAATTAAAAAAAAAAAAACCCTAAATGGGCCCGGTTCTGATTGCATGATCTAAATCAGCAATCAAATCATTGACATCTTCAATCCCGACAGATATCCGAATTAGATCTTCCGTTAAACCTCTCGCCTCACGAACTTCTGCTGGTATTGACGCATGCGACATGAAACATGGCATGCTAATCAACGATTTTACACTCCCTACAAAAATCAAAAATATATATATAAAAAATATATATATATATATATATATATATTGAAACGAATAAAAAAACAAGAGAAATAAATTATAATTATTACCAAAACTAACAGTTATCCCAAAGTACTTGGTAGTCTCCACTATATGCTTAGATAGTGCTAACGACCCTGTCAAAAAGCTCAGAACAGATCCTGCCCCCTTTGCCTGCATAATCAAATCATCAAAATATAAAGTATTTTGTTTTTTTGCCCAAAATAGCAACATGCTTATCTTTTGGGTAAAAAATGTAAATACCTGAGAGTAGTGTAATGAGTGTCCAGGGTGACTTGGAAGACCAGCATAATTAACCTTCTTTACATGGGGATTAGAGGACAGAAATTCTGCTATCTTTTGTGCATTATCCTGATTAAAACCATTAAAAAAATTTAATGGTTTTCTTTAAGTAATAAAACCCCCCCAAAGAAAAAAATATTTATGTATGAAAATGAAATAATACTTGTTGCTTCTCAATACGTAAAGCCATTGTCTTGATGCCACGTAAGCAAATCCAACAATCAAAAGGTGCAAGTCCAGACCCTTCTGCATTTTGTAAAAAATACAATTCTTTTGCCAACCTATTTCAAACACAGAGGATTTTATAGTAATTTTTAACTAGAAATCTTTCATGCATTTTGTTATCATAATTCATAAATGTATCTTTTATTCTTTCATCAAAAAAATATATATATACAAACCTTTCTCCTTTTACAGCAAGCACTCCAGCCATGACATCACTATGCCCAGCAATAAATTTTGTAGCTGAGTGCATCACAATATCTAAAAAACAACAAAATTGGTTAATCTTATAGATATAAAACATTAAAACTCACAAATATTTTATAAAAAAATATATAAGATTTCAAGCACCTGCTCCGAGTTCCAAGGGTTGAGACAATACAGGAGACATGATGCTATTATCCACCAACACAAGAGCATCATTAGCATGAGCAATTTCCGCTATTTTCTGAAATGAAATGAAAGGTCGTTATTACCCTTTATAGAATGATAATCAAAACATGAGGTGTATTATTTTAATAATTAATATATTATATTAAAACTTACACGGATATCAGAAATTTGTATTCGGGGATTGGTTGGACTTTCCAACCACACGAGCTTAGTTTTAGGGCCAATTGCAGCAGCAACCTCATCTAAGTTAGTTGTGTCCACTCGTCTTCATAAGTTTATTTTATTTTAAAATGTCATAAATTTATGGCTATAAAGATTAATAAATTTGTTTTTTCAAAGATTATAAAATACTAACTTAACAGTGGTTCCTGTTCTTGGAACAACTTGTGAGAGTAATCTATCAGCACCACCATATATGTCTTCTCCAGCAACAATTTCTTCACCTATAAGAATAATGTTATTATCATTTATCAATATCATGGATGGATTATTTATTATTTGTAAAAAAAAAAAAAAAAGGCAACAAATTTTGTTTGATTTTACCGTTTTTTACTAGATGAGTGACAGCAGCTAAAGCAGCCATTCCACTAGTAAAGCAAAATGCTCGATCTGCTTTATCAAGCTTTGCTAGGAGACTGAAAATAGAAAGGAGAATAATGTTAAAATAAGATGTGACAAAAAAACACAATTTATTAAAAAAAAATGAGGGATTGAACCTTTCTAACACATCACGTGTGGGATTGCCACTTCTAGTGTAATCATAAGGGCCATTTTCAGTTGCAGAAGGCTGCAAAATCACAAAAATTAAAGAACTTTCCGATTATAATCCCACAAATAAGTATAATCATAAAGATGCAAAACAGGGTCTTAAACTCTTAACACTTACTTGTTTGAAAGTAGCAGTTTGATATAGTGGTGTGCTCATTGCACCATAAGGATCGAATTTGTTTTCAAAATTCATCAATATGGTCGATACGCTAGGCTCTCTAATGTCGGTTTCCACCATTGAATCTGCCATTAAAACAACCACAATGATAAGAAATCTTTGAAATATACAGATTGAAGAATTTTCCGACAGCTACCATCAAAGCATTCTGCAAGTCCTTCAACGACGGCCGATGCACTCACATCCATTCTGTCTTCCCTTGAGCAGCGCAACACCAATTTTTCACCAAGCGAATTCGAACAACGATTGCTTGCAACACCAGATGTACACCCAAAACTAGCAACCCCCTAAAATGTCATACGAAAAGCTTAAATTCGAAACATGTAAATCTCAAACTAAACCAAAACCCTTTAATTCATCTAGGTATTCGGCTGATTTCATCAGAATTCACCAACTAAACTGTAGTTTTTTTTTTCTTTATGATGTCAAAATGAATGCAATCGCATTTCGTGACCAAATTCATTTGGGTATGGATTCAAATTAGTAAATTACAAGACCCCACTGTTGAAATGTCCTCTTGGTTAATTTTCATTTTCGTTCTATCAAAAAACCTAGTTAAGGGTAACAGAAATTCGAGGAAACACAAGCCTAGACAAACTTACACGGTGATTGATAAGTTCAGATGGTGGAGCTGTGAATAGCGGCGATGATCTGAGAGAAGAAGAAGCAGAAGGAGCAGCCATTGTTGTATTTGGATTGTTGTGGGTCCACGACTCTTGAGCCGGCGAATGTATTTAGACACAGCAGCCAGTGTCAAGTGTGTACAGTATACATGCAACATTTAAGAAAACGGGTTGATCCGGAAAAATATCTGTTTGTGTAAAATAATA